GAGAGATGACTACTTTTCTCAGTCCCACTGACATGCCTTCTATTGAAGAAAAATAGTCTGGGGACGAGACAGACAACTTCCGGATCAATGGGTCCAAGGTGAGTAAGGTAGTTAAATAACTCCTTAGTGGTAGGGCCCCAGGTGATTTGCCTTGAGTTACTATAGGTATATCTTGGTTGACACACCTCTGCAACATCACTTGGAGATCCAGGGCAGTCCCTCTGGATTGGCAGACAGGGGTGGTGGTTACTTGGGTGATTCAATTACAGTGGGATCACACTACTCAGCCTCCCTAGGAAGAAAAGTCTATGCCAGGGTACTGGAGACAAGAGTTTGTCCATAATTCGAACCTCGGATTCAGTGATTGTCATCCTGGTCATAGACCGCTAAACCAGATCTTTATCCTAATGAGGAAATTCAAGTTTGAATGGGGGTTACAGTCTACATGTGTTTTATGGGATTTGACCGCATCCCTCGAGACATTGTATGGAAGGTGCTTTGGGAGTATGGGGCATCTAGCTCATTATCAAAGGCCATTTGGTCCTTGTGCAACTGCAGCAAGAGCTTGGTCTGTCTTGCTGACAATAGACTCATTCCCAGCAGGTGTTGGGATTATGATTATGTTCATAATTTTTTAAACAAAATTTCTAGGCAGTCTTAAGTAGCAAAAGGCCTCCCCTCTGGTTGTCTCAGGATCTCATCTCTATTTTTTGTGGTTCTGTTGGCTTCATCAGGTGGTGGCATCCAGATTGTACATCAACAGTTTGCGGCCCAATGTGAAGCAATGGGAATACCAGTTAGCACTTTCAAGTGTGGGGCTTGAAAGTTCTTAGCAAGAATAGATTAGAGAGCCTTCTTGGGGTTAGGGACAAGTTGTTGCCCCAAATGGAGGAATTCAAGTATCTGGGGGTCAAAAGTGAAGAGAAAGGAGAGCGGGGGAGTGACAAATAGATTGGAGCCATGTCTGCAGTGATGCATATGCTTTACTGGTCTCTTGTGGTAAAGAGAGATCTGAATATAAATATGCTATGGTGTTGATTTTACTAGTTGATAATGACGTCTACTGCCTGGCCATCCTGGCCCAATCCCCAGAGCTGGGTTTGCCATTCCCCACCTGCCGTGGCCACCTGCAAGCCATCAAACAGCAAACAGCTGTCCAGTACTTAAGATGTGCGTTGGCTTCCACACTCTGCTAGACCGTCCACTACCCCATGATGGTAACTTGGCTCTTGCACACTTAAATTTTAGAAATTTTCTTTCGTATAACCTGTCTCCTTGTGTTTTTCTTTACCTCTGACCAGAATCATTACCCACCACACCTGCAGCTGATTCTCGTGTTCATCTCTCCTCTCACCTGAAAAAGCTCATGGACTAGCTACTCCGACAGCGTTCACAGAAATTCACTCTGCCTGCCACTCACCTCTGGATCATGCAAATTGGCTGGATTGCCTCACTCTCACCCTGTTGGACACTCACACCAGTTCCTCCCTCCCTCCGGACCCCAGTCTCTCATCTAACCAGTAACCTGTAATTTCTTCATTCTAATCATTACCTGGCAATTCCTCCTACTCCCTCACTAATCCCTCTCTCCCTTTGCTTCTAGTGACTGCAACATCTAAGACCCTCACCTCTGTCTCCTACCCCCCAAAGTTCTCCTTCTTTTTTCCTTGTGATTAAATAAACTTAAGTTCACTGTATCTCACTAGTCAATTGAGTTTGCTTTTGGGTTCAGCCCTCGTACCAGCCTAGTGGCCCCTGACAGATAAACATCCCTACCCTCGCCTGGCTAGTGACCTAAAGTATGCGATTGCAAATACAAGCGGTGAACATTTTGTTGTCTCCAGAATGTGGCTCAGTGCTCCTTTAGATATAGTTTAAGAAATTCAGTCATTTAGGAGGGAACTAGACTAAAGCCGCTACTCCTCCACATTAAACTGAACCAATTGAGGTGGTCTGGGCATCTGACTAGGATACCTCCTGGCCACCTCCTGAGCGAGGTGTTCTGGGCATACTGCAAAGCTATAGGGTATTGAAGTATGGCACTGTGAACCCCTTGAGCCTGCTGTACCACCCCTCCCTTGAAGTTGAGCCATGGACCACACTGCCACCACAGGCACCTTTCTTTGATCACAAGTGCCATAGCTGTGTGCAGGCAGGCAGGATGATAGACCCAAACGCAGGCCTCGTGGAGACAAACGTGAACTCAAAAACCTCAGCTTTATTTGTTGGCAATTACTAAACAGAAAACTAAACTGGTGAAACATGTCAGTTTCTAGCTTCACCACACGGGCAATTATGAGGTTACGACGCGACATAGGGCAAGGAAAACACAGGGCTAAAAACACAGTAACCAGGGAATGGGAGACAGGAGGGAGACACAGCTGGGAGAAATCAGACTAAACTAGACAAGGGAAGCAAACCTAGAAGCACTGACATGAGACACGCACTTTTAAAGTAAATCAGAAAACACATCGACTTAACTCAAGATACGTAAACTTAACAGAGACCGGGGGAGACAGAACATAGGAACCTGAAACGTGGGATAGGAGGGCACAGAGTAGACAACACAGAACACAGGGAAGCCACATAACAAAACCTAAGAACTAGTAATCACATAATAAAGAATTAGAGAGCTAGAAATACTGAGAAATAAACCTAAATACTAGTAGTGATAACAGTGATAAAAATAATCAATGATCAAAAAAACAGAACAAAACTGGGTCCCAGGACCGTGACAACAAGCTTGTAGAGAATAGCCTGCCAAAGGCAAGCCTCTAAGTAACGAATTTGAGGATTTTTTAAATAATGTTAAATGATTTCTACAAAACATGAAGTGTGCCAGAGCTGAAGAGGTGTCTATAATATCACCTCTTCTTCAGATAACAAGGCTAGGAGAATCCGATGTCCTCCGAGTCCAAGTGAATCTCAGGTCAGTTCTCTCAATCTAAATTTGTAATTTATTTGTAATTATGACTTATTTCAATTGTATGAAAGATTAAAATGGAGTGCTGGTTTAGCTCAGTGGGTGAGCTATATGCCGTATGGCAGGACAGCATCTGGCCTGGGCCAAACCCGGGCTGTGTGTCCTCACCTCTCTCTCTAAGCTTTACTGTCTATCGTCACTGCATCTGTCCCAAAAAAGGCTAAAAGCCAAAAAAGTAATTTTTTTTTGTTTTTTAAAGTAAGCATAAACACTTACGAGTGTTTCATTAAACTTCAGCTTTTTCTCCTCAACTTCCAGTCTTATAGAAATCTGTTTGCAGGAAGAATATTCTACTTTAAATCAATCAGTAATCAACTAAGGACACTGACAGAGTTTGAATTCATTTGAATACCTGACTTAGTCTTTTATTTGTTGTTATCGATTGTCTGTTTGGCTCTTACTCATAGTGTCTATAATTATTTTATCTGAAGTGAGAACTAAATCAGATTTTTTAAAAGTCTGGGAAATGAGGTAGAAACTCAGAGTAAGGGCCAAGCATATGATAGATAACAACAAATAAAACAGTTCTTTGTTTATTGTTTGTTTAAAGGACTTCCTGTCTGTGATGCAGTGTGCATTTCTTCTCCACCCCTTATCTATTCTCCACTGTAGCATGTCATTAAAGTTTTGCCTTCTCCCTTAGTCTCTTTTTTGTTCTGTCTCCTCATGCTCGCTTTTTACTTTTTTATTTTCGTCTTTTCTCGTTCATCTGACCCCCAACAAGTCACAGCAGCCCCTCTCCAAGCCTTGGGGTCACAGAAAACTGGGAGCTATCTCATATTTATATGGGGAGATAACCTCACATCTGGTGTGGCCTGAGATTCCCAGAGAGGTAGAGGCTAAGACCCAACCTGACACATAAACATAGACAAACAGGCAACACAGACACAAACATGCATTCCCACCCTCATGCACATATATACATATACTCAGCACTCGCTCAACATGGAGACAAACAGAAATGAACACTGTACATACACTCACACTCCCCAAATATACTCTATATACCCAGGTCTAGGCACCATCACCCTCATTTTCTCGGGAGAGCACATGCTTAAGGACACAGACAATAGGGATGACATCAGATGCAGATGAGGATGATGCGCTCCCTCATTCACCACAAGTTGCAAAGTGTGTGCGAAGCATCCCAAACTTGCAACACCTAGCCGGTCCATTGCCTTTTTTATATTGCTGGCATTGTCTCGCAAAACAACGTGGACTTTATTCTTCGGAATTTTCCACGCATTTAACATTTCCTCCATAGCTGCAGCGATGGACTCTCCTGTGTGTGAACCACGAAACTCTTTGGCCTGCAACACTGCTTTTTGCATTGTAAAACTCGAGTCTATCCAGTGTACAGTCAGGCTTAGCAGGGACAACGGACAAACGTCCGAGCTCCAGATATCAGTTGTGTCATGGTCTGGGTGAGCAGCTGGGATTTTCCATCAGTGCCAGAGCACCCTTGGCTCCGCCCTTGGGCAGGACTTTCTCAGCTTCACGCATCTGGAGCTAATTGGGGCAATCAGGCCAAAGAGGGATTTAAGCTCTGCGCTGTCATCTCCTCCCTGCCAGTTCGGTAGCTATCTGATGTTGGTAACTGGCTTGTTTGACTCATGCTGTTTGTTGTGCTTCAGGACCTATTCTCCAGTGTTGACTGCTGCTCACCACTTGGATCTCAGCTCCTTTCCACCTCACTGGGAAATATCTCCAAACCTCACCTGCCTGCCCTTCTGCTCACTCATCACTTTGGATCCAACGAACCCCAGGTCAGCCGTTCACCTCCCCCTCAATACCACACCTCCACCTCCTGCAAGTAAGCTGGAAAGACTCTATACTTACCCTCTCTGGTAATCCACTTCAACCCAGCTCTAACTCCGCTCTCCTCTCTCCCCAGTGTGACCAATACTTACCTGCCTAGATCCAGTTGTCCTCACGTTCATGCCACGCTAATAGTTCCACGGCTACGTTTCCACACCACAGTTTGCCACGTCCTTGTGTTTTCACCTATATTATATATTCACCAATAAATTGTGATAAAACGCTCTCTTGCCTCCGCTCTGTGTGTCTGCGCTTGGGTTCTGTTCAAGTTGCTGGCCTCCGTCCAGCGTGACAAGTTGTCATGCTTAACGTGAGAATTATTTCCAAACTCTTGGAGATGAACTTGCGCACCTGTTTGTACTTGCCTGGGATAGCTTCCTCCGAGATGAAATGCCGGTTTGGCAGCATGTAGCGAGGCTCTAAATGCTCAATTAAGCGTCGAAAACCATCATTTTCCACAACGGAAAGGGGCTGGTCATCAAGCACAACAAATTCAACTATTTTCTCCGTTATCAGCTTCGCTCTATTGCTTTCCGGAGGGAATTTCTCACGTCTCTGAATATTTTCCAAAAGCGTTTGTTGATATGGTACACTTTTCTGCTTAGCTTTGGAGGCCAGGCTAAATTCCGCGTACTCCTTTGCGTGGTGTTTCTGTAAGTGTTTAATCATGTTTGTGGTGTTAAAATTCCCCACACTGCTACCACCTCGCGAAACACTTGCATCGCATAAGTTGCATTCGGCAGTCTTGCTTTTTTCGTCTTTTAGTTTGAAATAAGTCCACACTGCTGACATGATGGCTCTGAGCTCTCCCACACGATAACCGCTCGATCACGTGACGCATACTGCTCTGACGTGCTAAGGTCATGACCTGGGTTATACCATGTTAGCGAGTTTTTGAGGTGCTTTTGTGATATTCACTGGATCGGATAAAAATTTTAAATTTCTCTCCGATATCCGATCCAGTAATTTACATCAATATCGGACCGATACCAATACTGAATATCGGATCGGTCCGTCTCTAGTTTAAATACACAAACAAAACACGTATGCTTTCAATTGTGTAATTTAAGTGATCTAGGTAGCTAGATGGCACTGTTTATGTGATGGCATGCCACATCTGGCCCGATCATGGTTTGGTTTTGGTTGGCCCAGGCTCATAGAAAACAGGTCTAGCCCGATCTGGCATCAAGCTGGCACTTCTGACTGACTGGTGTCATGGCAGGGTGTATGTCAACCAGATGTGGGCCAGGTCTGGCAATGATGGCACTATTTATGTTCCTATTTTCCTATTTTAGTTAGAAGACCCAAATGCCATGTTGCAATACTATACTGCTATGGTAGCCAACGTTTCAAATGCAGGTTTGACAGGTTTGTGAGTGTACACTTTATCCAAAACCTAGTGAGGGTTTACACTTTATCTGATATTTAGTTGTTATATATGTTTTTTGTTTGTTTGTTTGTTTGTTTGTTTGTTTGTTTGTTTGTTTAATTAGTTAGATTAGTGCTTGTTTTAATCAATTTTAAATCATGCTTTTTATTTGTTCTTGTTTCTAATGTCTCTGTAAAGCACTTTGAATCACCTTGTTGTTGAATTGTGCTATACAAATAAACTTGCCTTGCCTTGCCTATATAAATAAAATGGAATTGAATTGAATTGAGGGGCGTGAAGACTCCCTCCCTCCGTCCACTCATATGTGGTGTTGCTGCATGCTGTTCTAAAGTGCATTTAAAACATGGGAGGGGACATGGCACTCCCTGCCAGATAGCAGCAGAGAGGCTGGCAGTTTTGGGTCTACATGTATTTAAAACTGAGAGGTCGGCACTGGGACCAGAGTTGAGATTGAATAAACAGACTGTCCTCTGGACGCTGTTTAGTGTCCCCACCCCAACGGGTCAAAGTACCCTCTCCCTTGAGCCAACCCAGTTGACCCCATTAGGAACCCCCACTCCCTGGAATTCACCAAGGGCAGGAGGCCCAGGACCCACAGTAGCAGCAAAACCCCGCAGAGCCTGGGGCAGCCCACCCAACCCCACCGCACAGGAAAACTACACCCACCCCAACATTCAATGAATTCCCATACCACATGAGACAATAGACACCCAGGTTGAGTTCATCCTCAGCTAGATAGGGGGTATCTAGCAGAGTTACCCCTATAGGTTCCCCTCACTAAGGCTGGGCCCCCGTGCATGCACCCACTCACAACCCCAGTGACACATCAATGAGGACCCAAGGCCCAGCCAGAGCCCCAACCCAGACTCAGAGCACCCCCAGAACCCCAAGTCCCCAAGCCCACCCCAGACCCACCAAGGTGCAGCTAGGCTACCAGGCCGGTAACCTACATCCGCTGGCACAGACCCTCCACCAGCCCTGCTGCACACAACCGCCAGAAAAACACTACCCAAGAGCCACCAAAGCCCCATCCAGGTCATGTATCAAGACTAATATGAGCTATCAGAATGTCTCTAAATTAGTTAGAATTAAGATTATTTTTATTTTTCCAGTTCATGAGGAGTGTGGTGGATTTTTGGATGGCATGTATATCTATAACTATCTATAACTATATACACTATATCTGTCTGCATTGAATATATATACTGTAACTGTCATGTAGCACACCATGGTTTATTAAGGTGGTACAGTAACAGGGCAGTTAATGCCGGGGAGAGTTCTCCTGAATAACTCACTCTCCAACTCCGGTCACTTACCACGCCCCCAGTACACACTCATGACAGACATGTCTCTTAGAAAATTGTAACATTGGCTGACATCTGAAATACTGCAATCATCACAATAAAATCACCTGAAGTATCATTATGATACCATATAATCATACACACACAAACACTGGAGCTCTGCCCTTCTCTCACAGATATCAGCAGGGATTGGCTTAATCAATTGTCTATTAACCTGTCTTTTCTGTTCTGGATCATTGAGTGGGGCCACTGCATACACAGGACCAGCGTCAACAGGGGCACGGACAATACAATATGATGTAGCGCCCCAAAAATCTTGGATTTTATTCCGGCCTCGAGTGCTATGATCTCTCAAATACACTAACTGATGCAATGGCAAGGGATCAGAAGCTGGGGCAGGTTGATGATCTGCACGCAGCGTCGCTGCTGCTTTGGTGCGATTACTCACACCTTTATAAGTTACATCTAGATGTTTCTGATGCTCTTGGACCCAAGTGTGCACCGGGCCATGAGTGGGTTCCTCCACTCTGCCTAACAGGAAGTCAATTGGGAGCTGGGGCTCTTGGCCAAACATAAGAAAATAGGGTGACTCACCCGTAGTTTGATGGATTGTGGTATTGCTGTAAATACATGGGCCAATGACGCTTTTGCTCAGGGGGCAGGGTTCTCAACAGATCATGCAGAGTCTGATTAAAACGCTCACACTGGCCATTACCTTGAGGGTGGTAAGGAGTGGTGCGAGTCTTTTCCACACCATATAACTGGCACAGCTGTTGAACTACTGCTCCTTCAAAACTCCTCCCCTGATCAGAGTGGATCCTAGAGGGGACACCAAAGCGATAAAACCACTCATAAACCAAAACACTGGCCACAGCAGTTGCCTTTTGATCCTTAGTACAAATGGCCTGAGTGAACTTTGAAAACACATCAGTAAGAATCAATACATTTTCACGGCCATCAACAGAGGGTTCAAGGCATGTGAAATCAATTGCCAGAATCTGATTGGGCCTCGCAGCCATGAGGTGACCCATGGTTGTTTTAGGTTTGGGATAAACTGCTTTAGCCTGCGCACAACGTTCACATTGCTGACAGTAATCCTGAACCTCCTTAAACATACCTGGCCAATAACACCTCTTGCGTATTAAGTCTGCGTCCTGTCAGTTCCCTGGTGACCATGGTCATTATGCAAGCCATGTAAAACCTCCTTCTTGAGACTCTGAGGGACCACTAATTGGCACACTGGTTCCCCCCCATCTGGCTGAAAGATCTGCCGATAAAGGACGCCCTCCTTTTCTACTAGTTTCCTCCACTGGCGCAACATTTCCAGCACTGCTGCTGGCAAATCTCTCTCTCCTGCGAGTAGGGCCA